GGCCTGGCAGCCGGGCCCGCCTCAGGAGGGGCCAGGCCTGAGCCTGGAACCGGGGCTGCCCGCGCTGGGACACGCGTTCTTTGCGCTCCTCCTCAGGCTTGTTTCTTACTGGGTAAATCTGCGTTGTTCTGTTGAGTGGGACCCTCTGTGTCTCCTCCTGCTGTCCTGCAGCAAAGCCAGCTGAGAGCAGCTGCTTTCTGCTTAGCAGTACAAATTTCTCCTCCTGCTTCCCCCAGATTACTCGGTGGTTTGCTGTTTTCCTCTTTCTTTAATGAGACTCCGGAGCACACGTCTTTAAAGCAGACTTTCAAGCCTGAAATAATCTTAGTGGAAGTTGGGGGTTTTTTTGTCAACAGCACTTGTTAAGCGCTTGCAACAGGTTCCTGTGTAGGAACCTCCCTCAGCTTCGCGTTAAAGCCTGTGTCACCTTTGTGCCCTGTGGTTGCAGGAGTGCAGGGCCTGTGTGTATGTTGGGAGAATCCAAATGCTGTTGAACCCTGTCAGTTCATCAGAATATGATGTGATGTTGGTGTTGCTTTTTTCTTTTTGAAAACCAAGGTTTGGTGATGTTATATCAAAGTTTAACAGATGCCTGGTTTTGGTCTATGACCTGGTTTTGGTCTAAAAATGTCTATGACATTTTTAATGTTTTTAGGAGAAAAAAAATCTGCTTGAAAATGTGAATATGCAATTTTTTTTTCAAATTTACATTTAATTTTGCTATCACTTGTGTGATGAGAAGTTCTGCAATAGAATTGATTAAATTCTTAAAGAATTTGTTTCCTAAAATTTGAGCATGGGGAAAAAATTAGAAGACTATGTTAGTTGTCTGAGTCAATGCTAGTGATAGTTCAAGAAAGCTATTGCATTCAGTGCTAGCAGAATAAGACTACAGGTTAAGCAGAATACACTCCTGCCATGAGAACTCTGGCATGAAAATGTGTGAAATTTGAAGAAGGATTTTTTTTCTCTCTCTTTTTTTCACAAGGCAGGCAAAGAATTTACTTTCTTTCAGTAGTTTGAGAAAAGGATTTTCTTTTCTACTGAATAGTAAATGGTATAAATTCAAGCTTGGCTTGCAGCAGCATACTCCTTTTGGTGGTACATAGGAATATTGGATTTATATGATTCTGAATTCCATCCAGTTGGATTTGCTAATGGTTCCAAAGAGCCAACATACTAAATTATTTAATTCTTGCAAGTCAGCATAGGACGGTGTAAGCAGGGGAGGATTAATACCAATAATTCTGTGATGCTGCAACACTGTCTGTACTGTGCATGTAACAGATAAAGAGACCACTAGCTATCCCAAAACAGTAGCAAAAGAATGCCTGGAAGGTGTGCCACAAAGAGGCAAACATACATCATACACACACCAATGACCATTGAATGCTTGACCACATTTTTCTGGGGTTTTTGAATAGTTGTCTTTCTATATAGTTGACATTAATAGTTCTGTAATTCTTATGAAAGTAAAGAGTTAATTTGTCTCGTGATTAAAGCCTCAGATTCTTTTGGCACAGTATTTGAACATCTCTTTCTGTCTCTTCTTAACAGTCTTTCCAAAAGCCTCTTTCATTCATAATGTATTCTAAGACATGAATACCCTTCCCAATCAGTCTTTCATTATGCAGTTTTATTGTGGGTCATTTCAATATCCTAGATTTTCCATTATTTTACATAAACATACAAATCAAAGGCACTTACATTCTTTGTCTGTGACACTGGAGTTAATCATTCGCAAAAGTATCAAGCTAAGCTGTAAAATAAAGTGACCCTACTGCTCTTTTCGTCTTTATCCTACGAGTGTGTACTGACTTCAGAGCAATTATTTAGGATTTTCATTAGTATAAATGAAGGCAAAATTGGAGCTGTGGATTTTAGAGCATATTAAACCACTTAAGTCAATAGAAGTTGGCCTTTGAATGTGCATACACATTCATGAAAATGTGGCATGTGTATGTGCAATGTATGAATTTGTTATTTGTTATTAACCTTAAGAATACTTGATGCTGGTGTCCCTTGCAGAGTTCCTATATAATAAGCAAAAGGGCTTATGTCTTTCAAAATTACTTTTTTTTTTTCCTTTTGCTGTTTTATTAGGTGTTTGTTGTTGTTTTGTTGGGGTTTTTTTGGGGGGTGGGTGTGGAGAGTGGGTTGTTTTAACCTGTAACAGTTTTTACCAATTACAATCCTGTGATTCTCTGATTCAGTTTAGTTCGCTTTGAATTTTTTTAAAAAAACTAAAAAGAAGGTACATAGTCTTAAGAGATAATCGACTCAGTTGTCTTATGTCCGCTGTTTCAGGATATGCTGCGCTGCATTTCAGACTATCTGCAGAACCACCTGTTTGTATTGAAAGTTGCAATAAATTTATTAGGTGATTGGAAGAATAAGCTGACTAGGAAGTAAAAAAGCAGAAAAACTCCTTTGTACTCTCTACCAAATAGCATGCTGCTTGCTGTCCTTTCGTTATATTAGACATACAGAATAGATGACTGTTGAGCCTGAACTCAAACCACAGCAAATGGATAGCAATATAGAAAATCAATACAATTAAGTTTGAAATTTTCTGACCCAATAACTTTGTCAGGTATGGCTTTCAGGGATCTTCTCTTGACTTACAGTGATGTCATGAACAGCAGGATTTAGTTCTTTGACTTGACTTGCCTATTGTCTTGCTGGAGTAACACCTGATACCTTATACATTCTGCAGCTTTTTGAGGATCTTGGAACAGATATGAACCAGTCAGGTCATTCTAAGAAATGCTTGATACATGCTGCAAAACATTTTGGATTTAAGAAAAGAAGGATGGGGGAGTGAGCTCAAGACTCACCATTCTTGCATTCATGGTCAAGCTATAAATACCATGATATGCAGCCTAACACAATGGGATCTTTGTTTATGGTAGGTGTTTCCACTTACCTAGTCTTTTACAAATTCATGGCTTATTTTTTTTTACAGCTTTACTCTGTTAACTGATGTTTGCAGTGCAAAAAATTTACTCAGCTCTAAAGTAGAGAAGAGCTTTCTTCAATAAGGACACATTTCCTGCAAGGCCATTTTCTGCAGTGTTCAAGATCTGGTTGTTTCTTTGTTATTTCTTATCCTTCTAAACATGCAGACATAATTGCTATCTATGAAAAGTTGTCTTTGAGAGGACAGATATGTCTGTTACCTCTGTTACTAGATAATCTTTCTAAAAGCTTCAGGGAGAGATAAATATATGATGTGTTATGATGGTTGCAACTATCCAGTCATGCCAACTGGAAGGCAGCTCAGATAAATACATAAGTTAATTCCAAGTGATGAAACCCTTTTGTAGCAGCTGAGAGCTGGAGTAGGAGACAAGTCACATGTTTCTCAGCCAGAATATTGTTGGAGAGAGAGTGCAACAGCAGCCTAGGATAGCATTCTGTCAAAAATATTTTATCTTTCTCTTCAAGCTTCAGTTATCAGAAGATGTGGTGGTGGTGTTTTTTTAAATGGATTTTTTTTAAATATTTTTTTTAATGGGTTTCCATGTCACAGCTGCTTTGTCTCCCAAATTTGTATAGGAGGAGTTCAGTAAGTTAGTTAAGGTTTGATAGAAAGGGAGGAGATTAAATAGTCTTTTGTTAGGTTACCATTCTCTTTCTGGTGCTCTGTGCCTGCTTGCATAAGCTGTTCTTGATGAGGGGGACCCATTTCAATTAAAAACTCTAATGAGAAATATGTATTTGTATACCAGGGAAGGCTACATGATGTGCAAAACTTATGGTCAGTCTGAAGGGTTACTTGAAATAACACAACATATTCTGTACATCCAAAATTCTGTATTCACTTACATACATATTTATACTGTATTGTATCTGTATGGTGTACAGTAGAAAGTCAAGTCTAGCAAGCTGACTTTCCTGTTGCTGAAACACTAAGAAACTTTTTCAAGGCCGTGTGCTGAACAGCTAAGCTCAGCATATCATTGCTCTTTGTTGGGTATGAGTGAAACTTGATAAAGTCTTTTAGTGGTAAATAGTATTTCATTTTCAAATGAAACGTATTTTGTGGAACTTTACCAATACAGTTCTCTGAATCCCTTGTTCTATTTTTTTAAAAATTGCCTTACTATGAAGGTTCTACAAAACACCAATTACAGACATCTCATAAGGCTTTTTCTGGCTCTCTCTAGTGAAACTACCTTCATTCCTTTGATATGGTAGTTATTTTCCCATTAGAAGACAGGTTTTTTGTATTTGGTTTTGGGTTTCAGATTTTGGGTTTTTTTAGGGTCAGTATTAATGAAATTCAGGGGTTTGGTCAAATAGCATGTGATTTCCTATGTGAAAAAAATTATAGTCTTTTCTTGTAAAGTTGTAACACTTGGGGTAGCTATAAGTCGTAACAACTTGGTAAGACTAAAAAGTTCTTTCATTATCTCCTCCTATTAAAGTGTAAAATTAATTTTGAAAGCTTG